GTAATCAAAATCTGCTGGGACAGCTCGAAAACGTGAGATTTCTGACATCAAACTTTTTCCTATACACAGTTTAGTTTATGCTTCTTTCGACAGGGGGATCGTGGTGTAGCGAGTAGTGTGCTTGTTTACGGAACGGATCGCATTTTTGTAGTGAGGTTTCGGATCCCCCACTTGATAAACTTTTCCAAACTTTCAAGCCATAGAATCATACTTTCTTTTGACATTATTGCTCTGAGCAAAATTAGATAAGAAAATAAAGAAGAAATAGTAAGTGACCTAGCACTCTTCCCTAGTAAATGAACCCTTTCCCGAAACTGGGAGAGTACCACAGAATTTCCACTCACCACAGCAACAAAACAATGGACTAAAGCATAGAAAATATTGTAGCAACAAATGATCACTTAATATCCGTCGATATCCATCCCCACTTTTCTAAAGTTGACCTCTAAATCCAATCCTTTTTTGGTTCAATCTTTGAGAAAGGAATTTAGGCCCGGCTCTCTTTAACAGGAATCGATTTTAACTCACATTTCGATCAGTCATTATCAAGTAAGAAGCATAAAGGTTTTAGCAGAAGTCCAGCCATAGAAACCCAATCGATCCATTGCGCCCGGGACTCTTTCCAATTTACAGAACATTGTGATGCAGAGAGTCTACAATATGCAAAAGCTTTAAAAGTTTGAGAAAAAGAATGGAGATTCAGAATGGAATTCGAAAGCAATATCAACTATATATGTAAGCTATCAAATAATTATTTGTCAAATAATTTAAGAAATGATGTGTCGAACTCGAAAAATTGGGTTTTACTCTACATTTTTGGGATTGATGGCGATGATTCGATTCAAAACAAATTGGTCAACTACATTTCGAGGTTTTAATCATATTTCTGCTTACAGAAAGGATAGTTTTTTACTTTATTCTACTTTGAAATTCTAAAATTCTAAAATTTTTAATTGAACCCATCGTAGCCGACCGGATAGGAGAGGAGTTTTGTCTCCTAGTCGATGGGGTCAGGGGTTCGATCCCAGTGGCCAAGAAAAATTAGTTCCTTTTTCCCATCATTATGGGTTTTTTTCTTAAAAAAACATTTGGGTAATAGGGGTAAAAATTTCCTCCATTATGTTGTAATTCATTATTCGTGTCGAATAAATATGCTTTTTTGGTACAGAGCTCTCAGAATGGTATTAGAGAAAATTTCGAGCTTTTAAAGGCGATTCAACCAACTGTAATCCTACGAAAATACGCAGGAGCTTATTTTTCTCGAAATTGTGCTGTGAAGATGGATCAAATGCAAAAAAAAAAAACAAAGAAAGAGATAAGTTCAGAATTCAAATATTATTTTTGAATTCTATCATGTGATAAAAAAACTCAACCGAACCATAAAATTTGTTTGTGTTTTAACCACTACAAGTCTTTTCTTGAATTTTTTTTTTCCAGTTGAGAAAATTCGCGATGACTAAGACATTAAAAAGTTCTGCAAATTTTACGAAATTTCTAAACAAAAGTAAAATATACTTTGCAAATGCACGTTTTTAGATTAAAATGTGGACTTTTATGCTTTTTGTTTTGTGGAAAAAGCCACGTTGAGATGATTAAATTTTTAAAAACCAAAAGAGTAATGCTAAGGAGAATTTGGTGAGGTATTTGGATTCAAAATTGTTTAAAAATAATTCTAGATTGGCAAGGTTTTCTAAATGTGCAGGATATTCATTTTTATGGAATGATTGAGTCTGGAGCTCATGTACTCACAGGCAAAATCGCATCTTCATTGGTGTAAGAGATCAAAGCAACTTCTTTCTGTGATGAGAATGTTAAAAAAACAAAGCGGAATGCTAGCATTAGTCACGAATCTAGTTTTCAATCTAGTTTTGAAATTTGGAACTTAAATTATACTTGAAAAAGTCGATTTCTCAAAAACAGACGATAGCAGACAGACAGAAGACAATGAATAAACTGGAGTCACTTTTTCTTTATCATTGATAGCTCTTGTGCTATTGGGTTGGGGAGAATGAGTCGGCGCCAAACTTTAAAGGGACTTTTTGCACACATAAAGCCTTCTTTAAACATACGTTTGGTTTCATCAAAAGGATCCACTATTTCTCTACAAAATCACTTTTGAGAGATTCCACAAAGCTTTTCTTTCGTGGAGTTTATGAACTTCCAAACGCAGCTGGTTAAAATGGCAAAGAGTCCGACTCATCATTTGAACAGTTTCTTTCACATAAACCTTCTTTGGTGTTTATATAAAAAAGATAGAGCACATTCAATTACTTAAGTTGCCAAATTTGCAGGAAAGATCCCACCAATGGTTTTCTAGATCCACAGTTTGTAGTTTTTGTGAAAAAATGGCTTTTTCTTGAGCGGAGGCGCTGTTTGAATTTTCTTTTAAATGTGATTTTGTAGAGAATTAGTTAACCATTCTACTCATATCAAACGCATATTATTTGACAAAGTCGAATAGAAGTTTTAGACATTTTTTTCATTTTCGGCGCCGACTCATTCTCCCCAACCCAATATTAATGATACTTCCCTCTTAAGTTCGTTTGCTAATTAAAAAGAATTTTAGCAATGAAAAAGCAAATTATAAGCTTCGAAATTCTCAAGTCTTCCAACTTCTCACAGGTGTTTTTAGGATTTGAGTTAACAATAAGTAGCGAGACATTTTTGTAGTGTTTTGAGTGACAAAGATCTGATAGTGATTAGCTTCTGATCTAGGATTGAATGCGTTCCTAATTAGATTCAAGCCTTTATTTAGGTGTCTGTTATACTTTGGTGAACGAGATGAGAAATTTGATATTGTACTAGTTAATGGTGCCAATTTTGAACGGATCTACTTGTTCGTAGTGTATCTTGAGCTTGCACAGATTGACCCGGAAATTTCGTTGGTAAAGCTCTGAAGTGGTCACAATTTACAATAAGCAAAAGATATCCGTTTCCGGTAAACGGAGCCTCTTGAAAGATAAAAGAAAAGAGAAACGTTGAAAGCTGCAGACAGAAAAAGTTGAGAGATGAAAAGTGAATAAATCATTGTTTCTTATCTCTTCGTTTCTTATAAATTGACAGTTCTCTGGCATTCATTTAATTCGTTTTTCCTTTCAAAAGAAAATTCTTCAATTTCACTAGCTTGCTTTTAACAATTGGTAATCATGTTTTTTTTTTTGAAAACAACTTTTAAATGAACTTAACTCTCAATGATTGCTTTGTGGTTTTCGCCATTGATTGGTCACAGGATTAAGTGAGTGTGATTAAGTGATTAAGTGAGTGTGACAATGTGATTACAATATTTAGAGCGTACTCCAAGATCATAAATTTGAAAAAATGTCTTCAAAAACGAAATTGCTCCTGGTGAAATGAGGAAAAAAAAGGGCATCGAGCATCGAGCCCCATATCTTTTCTGGTTCATGCACCAGCAATTGTACTTGTTCAGTATAAGTATGTACATTTTATATTTCAAAGATTTATTGTCTCGTTGCATCCATTGAATATTAAAATAACACTTTTCCTAGTCTACAAAGATGAGTTTTTACTAAAACAAAGATAGTTTAAGATAGTTTTAAAAGTTAAAAAAGATATTTAAAAAGATAAAAAGATAAAGATACTAAAAATGTCTCGACAAATACTCGTTATTCTCGTCAGCAGTCGGTCTGATTGTGTTGATCGCAGAGACTTCAGAAATGTCAAATTGATCTTTGTAAGCCTCTTCGAAATTTATATTTATCTGAAAATATATCAAATCGCAAAAAGAACAGTAAGAAAATACTTGTTTTCTATGTTCTTCTTTCAATGAAATCATTTCATTTTCTTGTCTTTTCACCAGGGAGTTCATTCTCGTTTCACCATACTCATTCAGTGTATCAACACCAACCTTTTGCCCACTTTTGGATGTGCTTTTCTAAAACCTTTCCTAGCTGTTTAATGTTTTATTTGACGATTAAATTATATAAATAAAAAGCTAGAATGCCTGACTATACCTGACTGCCTCTCCATAAGTCTCCATAAATAAAAATTTCAGTTTTACTTTTGGAAAAAGTTTGCCGCACTTTTTTGAGTTCTCTAAAATAGGAAAGGCTTTTGAAAATAAACAATTTTACTTTTTGAAGAATTTCTTCTTCAGCAACGTGTCTTTTTTGTGCTCGATCGATTTCCTGTTTTTGTCGATACTTTACTTGCATCAATAACATGTTGTATTTATCGATAGATAATTGTGATTTCAGTTGAAGCCTAAAAGAAGGGAATTTGAAATCTAGAGCTAGTCCATCATCGATTCTAGCAAACCTTTCCTCTTGAAAACGTTTTTCCAACTTTCTTTCAGCCATTTCTTTCTGACAAACAAGTTGTCCCTGTTGTTCATTAAAAGAACTTTCCAATGGCATAAGTACAGTAGTAGCGCAGTGGATATATATAGTGCAGCTCACAAGCTTTTTTGTGCCACTCGCTCACAAGGTTCGAATATGTTAACCTTTTTTGTTTTTTACTTAAACGATCAAAAAAACATTTCAAGGCGTTTAAAAACATTATCAAACTCTTAAAAGCATTACATTTATGACCCTGGTTGGTACTTCACAATCATTGCTGAAGTAAATCGATTAGTGAATGACGATTGGTATGTATTTTTTGTAGTCTCTGTGCAACAGATCTAGCGTGTTTCTGCCGTAACAAATGTAGTTTTAGTCACTTCATTATGTTCGATCATAAATTTGTTGATGACCAAAAAAAAGCTCGATTGGATTGATTGCGCCGATATGATATTTGCAAATTTTCCAAACGAAACCAACCAAAGATCAAATTGCATTCCAGCACTAAATTCCCGAATTATCCATCAATAGGATGAAGGATGAATGAAAGAATGAAGTGGCTAAGCATCAATAGAATCAAGTGGATAAGCGAGTGGGCGAGAAGTGACGGAATGAATGATGGACTCTGGCCCTGATGCAGAGTCGATTGTTTGCATATCTGTGCGAGGAATGAAACTAGCGAAAAACATTTAGCGCTATAAAAGTATGGCGTCAAAGATATGGCTTTCACCTTTAACCCCGGATAGAATTGTGACGATGAATCGAGTGATTTTCGCTTTTCTGATGGTCAGTTTGTCACTTGATTATCAAGATTTCATCAAATATAGCATTTCAAAAAGCTTAACTTTTTCAAAAGTTTCACTACATTTCCTAAAGCCAACCTTGATTCTAGTACATCAAGTAGCCGTCAAAAGAATAAAACATTCAAATTTTTTACTCGAGATTGTAAGAACTGTGTCATAGGTTGGCAAAGAATAAAGCAGTGTTATAGTTTTTATGAAAACAAATCGCCAAAACACAAAACAAAAGTGTTTACTGTTTGAATCCTTAGCTGCGATTCATTATTATTATCGTAATCCCAATCGTAATCAAATCGTAATCAAATAATAATAATGAAAAAATTTGAATGTTTTATTCTTTTGGTAATAATTAGTTAGTAAGAGTTTTGAACTACATCTATTGTTGCAAAAAAAAACTTTTCTTTTACCTTTTAGCTATTCGGACTGATCGGGACAACGTGTCCGCCACCACCTCAGCCAACGATCGGCTATGATCCATCATTTGGCAACGGAGCCTACTCGTTCGCTTTTAACGGTGAGTGCAAAGCGGGAGATTGGCCGACATTCGTTTAGCTGTGTACGAAGTGGGCCCGACGGGATGTCCAAGTGGGACCACTTGCTACAACGGGTCGGTTAACGAGTATTGTTTTGAGAAATGCGATGCTCTTCCATTCAAGAGCACTCTGAAGATTGTTGGTAAGTTTTGGGAGAAAATTTAGCTTTTACAGACTTGCTTAACGATATGGAAACGAACAAACACACCTTATCTGTGCGCATCTTTTCGTGAAAAATGTCATGGTGACATTGATGTGACCATCAATGATATTAGTTAATCAAAAAGTTATTATGCGAGTAAAGTTTAGACCCTTACGGATGCCATCAGAATTAGAGTGAGCTCCTCTTGGTTAAATCTGCATAATTTGATTAAATGTACACAAATTAGTTAAAAAATAATGAATTGCATAATGTCTGATTAATCACTGGATCAATGCAAAATTTGTTATTAGGATATAACATAATCCGATCCGCCCAGCCGTTCGGTCTAGCTCGATCCGATCTGTCAGTCGATCGTTCTAGCACGATCTGATCCGAATCCCGTCCAACCGATCGTTCTAACACGATCCGATCCGTCCAACCGATCGTTCTAACCGATCCGATCCGTCCAACCGATCGTTCTAGCACGATCCGATCCGATCAGATCAGCCTTAGCTGAATCAAATACCAAACCATGAATAAAAAAAGAACGAATAGAAATAAATATCCGCGCGCTTATTTATAGTAAATTATTAGCCGACGAGATTTCCAAGAAAACCTAAGATATTCAGTCATCTGCCTACAGATCTATGAATCGGTCCTTTGACCAACGTTTTGTCTGGTTAGTTCTCGGTTAATTGGTTAATTTTTAAATGCAAATTTTTAACCAATTAACTTGTTTAACCAACAGGAGCGCACTCTAATCAGAATCACTCAGCAAGTCTGGCTTCAACTTACAGTGAAACCTCGATAGTGATCGGACTTTTTGAAAGCCCTAGATGCTAAACGGAACCATTTTCAACCTCGATAGTGACCGGTTTTTCTCGAATCCCTTCCATAGGTCACTAACGAGATTCCACTGTTGGAATTGGATTGAACTTTAAATCGGTCTTGCTAACCAAAATCGTGATCGGTTTTCAGGACAGCCATCATTTCGAAGCAGCTGTTCATCGAGTGGCAACAAATGCTATTTGACGCCTCGTCCCGAGAGGGGAACACAGACTATCGAATGTTATGCCTAAATTTCGGAATAAACTTTGAGCAACTCTTTATTGCAACAAAACATGTTCCTCACACTTAAAATTGTTTGACAGCTGCGTGAATTCTTGATTCCTTTTTGTTGGTGTTAAAAGTTAAATCGTCAAAAGGAATCAATTTGTATTTTTTGTTTTCTATTGAAATTTCTTTATTTTATCTCATTAACGTTTCCGTATAGACCCAAAGCCTATGGAAGGCACGCGCCATAAGGAGTTCAAAAATTTTTGACGGCAAACCAAAAAAATATTAGTAACAATTGCTGTGTGTGTTCCAACTAAGAGAAAAAACAACAAAATTATGGATCCTGTCTGCATAAAAAAAGTTGTTGCACCGAACTCTAGCCGGTAACACTAAAGGGGCAAAACCTTCAAGTTATAGGTTATAACAGGTCGATCCTGTCAGGAAGCTGGTTCGATGTAAAAAAAACAGACTATTTTTTAGCGATTTCTCGTTTTTTACGCTATTGTTTGTAAACACTTAATATTTCTTTTTAGATGGCGCCTCGATGCTGGAAAAATTAATGTTTAATTAGCTTTTTTATTGTCTTTGTGACGGTTTTATTTTGTTTCTGTTGTTCAATTTTCATAGTGTTTGATCTAAAGTTTTCCAGGTCGCTTCACAACCGAGAACAAAGAGTTTACAGTCGGTCTTTGCTTGTGGTGGGGGTTGAGCACGACAACTTTTTTTTGTGCAGACAGAATCCATAATTTTGTTGTTTTTTCTCTTATTTGGAAAACACATAACAATTGTTATTAATTTTTTTTTTTGATTTATCGTCAAAAAATTTTTCCATTATGGCGTACTTGATATGCGTCCCCTCCGTTCGTCACGTTCGACTTCTAGGGAAACGGACTTGGCAGGGTACTCGGGTTTTGTGTGTGGCATCACCGGCGGACCACTAAACGGTGCTGCGCTAAAGATTAAAGCACAATTATCGTATTTACTCGAATAGAAGACCAGTTTTCTATTTTTTGCATTTACGAAAATTTTCAGAAAAGTAGCCAGCGTTAAAAAAAATCTTTATGAAAATTTATGGTAACATTTAACAACAAAATTTATCAACAAACCTGTAATAACAACATTAACAACAATTAATAACAACATTATTCTTCATTCTCACTTGCTTCAATATCATCCGCTAGTCAATCCGGACCTTGCAAAATTCCATCAAGTTCCTATGCGCTCGAAATTGAATAGTTTTCACTTTCATATCCATTGTTTATATTCTCGTTGAAGTCGATATCTTGACAAGGTTTTGCCAATTTTCCCTCCAATCGTGCAATATCCAGCTTGAATCGACCACTCTCAACAGATTCTCCTTTGCAGAAACAAACGATCTGATCAACCTCGCTGCCATCTAAAGCATTCGATATTCTACAATTTTTGAAAGACTTCCCGATTAAGCTGGTAGATAGGCTTTCCCAAGCTGTCACAATCCACTGTAAAAGTTGATCCATCGCTGGTGGCCGGAGATTTCCGCCTTTCTTAAAAGTCCTAATTCCATATGAGTTTTTCTTTTACAAAAACGAACGGCCTCGAATTTAAAGGCGGCACTGTAGGCTTTCCGTTTTGTAGCACCTCTCATCACCTAAACAAATGGTACTTTTCCGTTATACTCCGTCATTTTTGAGATTAAAAAAATGAGCAAATAATTAGATAAAAAAAATGGCGGAGTATAACGGAAAGTACCAAAAAAAATACAAAAAATAGTGCTATTGAATGAAATTATAATATTTTTACCCTATTGGGTAAATGCCTTTATTCTTTTCCCGTATTTGAGTACGCCCACTTTCTCGCAAAATAAAAAAACAGGGTACCTCGAATATAAGATCGGCCTATTAGGTTGGCAACTAAATAATGGCCCTCGCCCTTTTTTGATAAAATCTTTTAATCTTTGCGTTTAATCTACCCTCGCTTGTTGTTAATTGAATATTACTGAATTTCTGGTGCATTATTATACGTTTTTTACTTTCCTTGATTTGATACTTTTCAAATAATTTTGTTTAGAAATGGAAGATCTCAAATATCGAATGCGTGTCTGTCTCTAGTACGACTACAAACAAGACAAAACAGCTGCCGAATCCCACAGAGATTTATTGCGAGTTTTTGGTGATGAAGCTCTTTCCGAAACACAATGTAAGAGATGGTATCGACGGTTCAAGGAAGGGGATGAAAGTCTTGAAGATGAGCCTCGCCAAGGACGACCCGAACTTCTGCAGAACGATATTTTGGAAGCAGCTTCAAAGGAGGATCCAAGTCAAACATCACGCGAGCTAGGGGATCGATTTGGGCTTTTCGCATACTGCAATCCGAAAAGCGACTTCATGCATGGGGAAAAGTAACCGCAGTGGAAAGTGGATTCCGCATGAATTGAGCGAAGAAAATAAGGCTACTCGTGTTATCACAGCTGGAATACTACTAAAACTTGCGAAAAGGGAAGCTTCTTGGATTCCATTGTCACTTCTAATGAAAAATGGATCTTTTATGATAATCGAACGCTGAAAACTACAGTGGCTTAGCACAAACGAAGACCCAAAACCAACTCCGAAGCCGGATATTCACTCAAAGAAAACTCTCCTCTGTGTGTGGTGGAGTTCTCGTGGATTGGTGCATTTCGAGGTTCTCAAAAGCCCGCAAACGGTTAATTCAGAACTCTATTCGTCTCAACTACATCGTGTAGATCAAGCAATTCGCTCTCAAGGACTCGAACCCTCTTCAATTCATTTTCTCCATGATAACGCAAAACCACACACGGCAAAACTTACAATGGAGAAAATCGAGGAGTTGGGCTGGAATGTTCTTCCTCATGCGCCATACAGCCCGGATATGGGGCCTAGTGATTACCATCTTCTTCGATCGATGCAACACTTTCTAGCCGAGAAAAAGTTCAATGACCTTGACGAAGTCCGAATTTCAGAGCACAAGTTCTTTGACGATCAACCAGAAGAATTTTTCAAGAGAGGAATCCAGTTGCTCCGTCAAAAGTGGAAAGAAGTAATAAAGAATGACGGAGAATACCTTTTGGATTGATGTTGATATTTGTTCATCTTGTTAATAAATTTTTTGTTTTTACTGAAAAGGGCCATTATTTAGTTGCCAACCTGATATATTCGAGACGGTCTTCTATTTCTTCGATCACCTCCTAGACCCCATCTTCTATTCGAGACGGTCTTATAATTGAGGTCTTCCTATTCGAGTAAATAGGGTAATTTTCGATTTCGATTTTTTTTTGATAATAAACTCTTTTTGTTTTTGTTAGTAAATCTGAGTCCAAAATTGCGGGGAATTCACGGATTTCAATTCTGTTTGCAGTATCATGTTCCTAATCAAAAATTACGTACGTAGGTTTTTTCAGCCCATGTTATTTTGATGGAAAAGATTATTTTTAACTTTAAACATGACTAACCAAACCGTTGCCATGCAGAGATGGCCAAATGCTTAACGCGCGGCCCTCCTAAACGACCGAAAGACGATGTGGCCGAGGGTTCGGATCCTGTTACTTCCATTCTTTTGTTTTACTTACCCAAGTGTGGATAGGGGTAGGTTTAGCACTCCAAGCGTGAGTAGGGGTCGCTTTAGTTACCACGTTTGCGGTGGAATCGATAAAGTAGGGGTTACGGTCACTTATTCACGAACTACGAGTTCATTTAGTTCTTCGAGTTCATTTTCAAGCCGCCTTCATTTCTTACATTTCCGGCTTCTTTTAGCTAAATATAGATCAAGAGTCTATTTCTGTTCGGATTGTTTACTGGCACGAAAAATCTAAACTAACAATTCCCCAATAGAGTAACTTATGAAATGATAAGTTTTACAAGCGAAACTTTTTATTTTGACATGCTTTTATTATTTGAATATTATTTGATTCAAATTAACTTATGTTTTGCTATTTTAATGCAATCAATGCTTTATTTAAAAAATGGGAAATTCTTTTAGACGACGTTCAATGACCGTGCAGTGTCCTTTTTGGGTCGGATCAGGTCGAACACAGTGCTGCAAGCCTGCATCTTTACAATCTTCTCCGTTTCACATTCCTAGATTGGTGATGGTTGAAAATTTTAGAGATATCGTATTGCCTCTTTTAGAAGCCGCGACTTTTAGCAGAAGCAGTACTAAAATGTGTTTACAAAATCTACCATAGTCTTTCCTTTAGTTTTTACCCGATAAACGTATTCTTAACAAATGCACGCCAGATTCCTCGACGAATGAGATCAAAATCAAGTTGTTCGGACAAAATCTACGGAAAAAACCACGATAGTTTTCGTAAATTAGAAGAAGAAATAGCTTCTATTAGAGAGCTGCTTCTAATAGAGGCAATGCTGTGTGTCTTTTAGTTAGTTCACAAGTAATTACATTGACAAAAACGTACATATTGATTGCCAATCGTTGAGGCAATGCTGCAGGGAACGAGAAAGAGAGCAAATAAGAAATAAAGAAAATATTTCATCGCTTCAAAATGAAAATAATGCTTTATTTGGGCCCTTTTATAAAGGATAAAAAAGGCAAGTCAAGAATTAATCCGCTAAATTTAAAAAAAAAACTTTTTATTTATAGATGAATGTGGGCAGAATCAAAAAGAGACGTCATTCATGTCAATAGTTCTTTATTCATCTATAAATGTTTAGCTAACAGCTTTCAGAAAATCGTCTTTGTTTTTGAAAAACATTGAAATAAAGTTTTTCTGTTTGAATCCTTTAAAGCACTCACAAATCTGAAAAAGTCCCTTTCCAAAAAAGAGAGAAAAAAAAGCTCGATTAGATTTGCTTATCGATATTATCGATACAAACGGCAAACTCATGTTTGACTGTTCGGATCTCGGTTTCTAGAACAGCTATCAGTCTGCAAATTGTTTCTTTGGAAAGCCAAGAATGTCAGCTTTTGATTGCTATCTCATACATAGCAAATTCTTATCGGTGAATGCCTTAAAAAGCTGATTAATACTTATCGATAATCGATACTTTCGATGTCGATAAGTATCGCTAAG